AACCCAGAGACCAACGTGATAATGGAGAGGCATAACTTTAATACCCGGTACCAAAAACCAGGGGAAACAATTGAAGCATATGTGAGCACATTAAGAAACCAGGCTAAAACCTGCAGCTTCGGTGCATTGCATGATGAGCTCATTTGAGACAGACTGGTTTGTGGTATCAGCAGAGACAATGTCAGACGCGCTCTGCTCAAAGAAACTGTCCTCACACTCGCTAAAGCTGTACGCATCTGCCAAATAAGTGAACTCACAGAACAACACAGTAAAGCCCTCTCTACACCAAAACATGTGACAACTGACAGTGTAGACACAGTACAGGTGAAACACAGCAGCAAGTTAAGGGGAAAAATAAAATACACAACGAAATATGAAAACCCATCAACAACAATAACAGGCTGCAGAAATTGTGGAGGCACCCACCCAGCTCAACGGGTACAGTGCCCGGCTTTTGGACAACAATGTCACAACTGCGGAAAGCACAACCACTTCAAACAGCAATGTCGATCTGCAATTCAGATTCAGATTCAGATGTGACACCAGTCGTTAACCCCCCACGGCATGTCCCTGCAGCGATGCAGAAAAAGGTGAAACAAGAGCTCCAGAGAACGCAAGCTCTGGGAGTTATTGAACCTGTGGATGAACCCACAGAATGGGTCTCCAATATGGCGGCCACACATAAAAAAGAGACCAACGACGTTCACATATGTATAGATCCAAAACACCTCAACAAGGCGTTGATGCGCCACCACCATCCCATGCGCACAGTAGAAGAGGTGGCAGCACAGATGTCAGGCGTTACTATATTCTCTGTACTCGATGCAAAAAGCTCTTTCTGGCAAATCAAACTGGATGATGCCTCATTCACTACGACTTTTGGCAGATTCAAGTTTCTGAGGATGCCCTTTGGCATCAACACAGCCTCTGAGGTTTTCCAAAGAGCCATGGAACAAATCTTTGCGGAATACCCATGTGCCATAATCGTGGGTGACATCATCATTGGTGGCAAGGGAGCCAAGGAACATGACAAAAACCTGAAGAAAGTGTTGGATCGAGCCAGATAACTAAAACTAAGACTCAACCCAAAAAAGTGCAAGTTTGGGCTCAAGGAGGTGAGCTATGTCGGACATGTGTTTACGGAGGACGGGCTCCGAGCTGGCCCAGCAAAAACCACAGCAATAAGGGAAATGCCACCATCAGAGGACAAAACAGTGCTCCAACGCTTCCTTGGAATGACTAACTACTTAGGAAAATTCATCCCAATCTTGAGTGGACTATCAACACCGGTACGCCAACTTCTACACAAGGATGTGGTCTGGAGCTGGACACAGCACCACCAAGAGACTTTTGATAAGCTAAAAACATGCGTCACCAGCCCACCTGTGTTCCAATATTACAACTTGAAAAAACCAGTGACCCTCACCTGCGACGCATCCCAGCATGGCGTAAGAGCAGCCTGCCTTCAAGACAGCAAGCCCGTGGCTTACGCATCATGCACACTGACTCAAACAGAGATAAGATGCGCATATAGAGAATGAACTGCTCGCATTGGTGTTCGCCTGCTAAAAGTTCTATGACTACATCTACAGCAAGCCAGTCATGATCGAGACTGATCACCAACCGTTGGTCACAATCCACAACAAGGATTTTCACACTGTCCCAGCACGCCTGCAGCGTATGATGCTGAGACTGCAAAAATTCCACCTGACTCTCACCTACAAAAAAGGAAAACAACTCTGTCTGATACCCTCTCACGTTCACCAAGACATGGTGTCCCTCCTCAAAAAGAGGAACAGCATGAATTTGAGGTAATGACCGTCCAGTTAATATCTCCAATAGCTGTGGACGATGCCCTCCAGACTCTCACCCACTTCATCCAAAATGGCTGGCCATAACGCATATCCAGCGTACCGGCAGAAGTGAGACCATTCTTCAGTGATGTGATCTTCCGTGACAAACTCACTGTGGAAGATCACATCATCATGAAAGGCAGCAGGGCGGTTATTCCCACATCTTTGCACCCTGACTACTTGAAAGCACTCCACCAGGGACACCCAGGTGTGGAATCCACAAAGAGACGGGCGAGGGAAAGTGTGTTCTGGCCATCCATAAATAATCATATCGTGATCACTATCCAGACATATGGCATCCGCAACAGTCTGAAGCCCCACCAACAAAAGGAACCACTAAAACCACACACAGTTCCTGACCTGCCTTGATCTGTCGTTGCCACAGACATGTTTGAATGGAACAACCACCACTATCTCGTGCTCGTGGACTCATATTCAGGGTGGTTTGAAATCAACCAGCTAAACAGCCTGTCATCCCCAAGTGTAATTAACAAGCTAAAACACCACTTCTCAGTCCATGGCATACCACAGAAGCTGTACTTAGACAACAGCACCTCGTACTCAAGTCAAGCTTTCTGGGAGTTCACCAGATCTTGGGACTTCGTACATGTCACAAGCAGCCCTGAATAACCGCAGTCCAACGGGCTCAGTGAAAGAGCCGTGAGGACCGCAAAGAAACTGTTAGTGACAACACAACGAGATGGGACCGACTTCTGTCTGAACCTGCTGAACATCTGGAACACGCCCCGAGATAAAATCCTGGGCTCACCTGCACAAAGGCTGTTGTCCAGACGAACTAGAACAACCCTGCCTGTTTGCAAACAGCTGTTAAAACCAGCAGCAAAAGCAACAGCCATTATTAAGGCCCAGCTCACAAAGAAGCGTGGAGGACAAAAACTCTGCTATGACAAGACAAACCAAGTAATAAGAATCCAAACTTGAAAAGGACATGATAAACTGGGCGTTGTAAAGAGAAAGTCACATTCTGCCGGTGATGGAGCCACAGCCTCTGGAGCCCACCACACATGAAAATTAACTGAACAGGTCACAACACGCATCTGAACCAGAGGTGGATAGCAGAAAAGTGGCTGGAAACACACACCACCAGGACAATGTCAAAAACCACAGACGTGTGTAAAGCATGATCCACATTATTTTTGCATTGATTCATTGAGTGACAAGTTATATTGCAGTGTGAAACTGCTCCGTAGTTATGCATTTAATTTTAAGACACAAATATACTGTTCCACTTTCAGGTATAAGACAAATTGTTGGTTCATTGAAGGCCGTTAAATCTTAAGAAATAACTGATATAGTGTTTCTGTTAAGTCAAGTTCTAGCTAAGGAAGGGGGATGTAGACAGCTTAACTGTTTATGTGTTTGGATGGTGTCAGTAGTTGGTAACCTGGCAGTACTCACGGTATCCTCTTGTTGGCTATTAACATTCATGTCAATATAGGTAATTTGCCTTCACTGTGACTCTGAGTGAGTTAAACAACACACTCCCAGCCAAAAAAAACATAAACTCTTTAATTAAAGCATGAAGAGGTGTGGAACACAGCATCAAGGCGGTGGGCAAAGATGATCCTATACATATACTTATGTGTATTTGTTGAATATAAGAGGGTATCAAAACAGCCTTTGATTCATATGAATTTTTCTACAGATTATTACTTTATTAAATGTACATATCAAACACTCTATAAACGTCTTTTTTGTCAATCAGAATCTCAGTCAGAGGTTAGTTACTATCCCCGACTGCAAGAGCTGGATGAATCAATTTATGAATGATTTTCTGAGTGTGGGTACTGGAAAGAACCTCTTCATATGCAAATAAGCAATTAGGATGAGTCGTCCGTTGTTCATCGCCAGCCTCTATCCTCCCATTTCTCTCTAATTCCACCGTGTCGTTTTACCACCAAATGTCTTTCAACCAGCACTTCCTCTCTCTTCATCCTCCTTCACCCCCCCCCCCCCGATCTCTCTCTCACATCCCCTGTGGTGTGGGACCATGTGTGAATGGGACTGAGTGATGTGTGGGAATGATGAAGCTTCATGCAGTGTACACACATGTGCACGGCACACCTTTCACAAGGAATGCTGAAGTGTGTGTGTGTGTGTATGTGTGTGTGTGTTTGAGGAGGACTCATAGAGAGAGGAGGTGTCACTCTCTGCCTGACACACGGCACGCTTGTAGGAGACTGCATTCTAGTCGATTCAACACAAATACACACACACACACACGCCAACTGGCACACAGAAGGCTTTTACAGTGCTTTTATGCATAGTGTTCATGTATCACTTTAATGAGCTCGGTTGATGTGTGTGTACACTTGATGTCTGTATTTTAGTGAAAGCGGTAATTGTGCGTGTGAGTGTGTGTGAGTGTGTGTGAGTGTGAGTGTGTGTGAGTGTGTGTGAGTGTGAGTGTGTGCTGGGTGTGATAAGATAAGGCTTTTCATTGGTGTTTCCCACATATACCCTGAAGGCTACAGCTCTGTCCTGCATCATCCATCATCCCTCTCTCTCTCTCTCTCTCTCTCTCTCTCTCTCCTCTGAAAATGTGATTTGATGCAGTACACTCACACACGAAGATGACTGATTATTGCCTGACAAAAGAATACTTAAATCCAACCATTATATTTGGCATTTTGATAAATGATTAATTTGTTTATTCAAAAACATAATTGACTGATTAACTTAATGAAAGCAAGTGGTAGTTATCGTAGTTGCACCCCTGACCTAGTGCTAAAGCTAAGCATTAATTAATGTTGCTGTGAAGATACTGCTACCTGATGGCTGCTGCTATCACAACATTACAAACATTTTGCATTTTAAGAATTTAACTGATGCGCTCTTTGATTTACTGATAATGAGTGCAATAGTAAAACAAGCTCTTATTCCAAACTTTGTAATGATGAGTGCAAGGTATTTCTGTGACCATTAAGGAATTATGTAAGCAACAACGTATTGAAGCTAACAACTTTCCATAACAAAGACAAAGTAATCACATCACATAAGAACAAAAAAAACTAAAATCAGCATGTCATAGACAGGTGGAATACGTTAGAAAATATTATGTTAATATTCCACATTAGCATGACCAAACTGTACCAAACTGACCTGATCTGTGTTTCTCCTCTGCAGGAACGTTCAGAGGTGTGTGTAAGAAGATTGATCACTTCCCAGAGGACGCTGACTATGAAGCAGATGCTGCTGAATACCTTCTCCGTAAGTTTGATGCGAACACAAGCACAACGCATACACACACATTCCAAGATTCATTAATATATACAGTAAAAGGTCCCAACCTTGAGGTTTGGAAGATCTGGGATAAAGTAAAGGAGCACATCAGTGTCTCATTGTAATGGTACACACATGACTGCCATGATGCATTAAGCTGACAATATAACATGTATCACAATGTGATCACCGAAGACCTAAAGTCATGATATGTAATAAAATTTACTAAGCCATTCCAATGAAAGATTTAAAGTTGACTTGATTGAATTGACCATTTGCTAAGCTCTGCCCACCCTTAGTGTTGCTACGCCTTTCCATTCCTGCACTTAGTAGTTTATAATGATTATGGGGGCAGATTTACCATCAAACAAATTTTTAAACAATGGGTCCTAGACAACAGCAGGTTTTTCATTTCTCGCTAGCAACCATAATTTAGCTAGCATTACCTCCATGAGTCTTTTAGGACTTTTAGGACTTCCAGCTAACTGGAACTGAAGACTGAGGCGATAGCTGCATGTTGCAAAAAGTCTGCATCCTCATCATTTGATATCGCATGTAGAAGACCATAAGAAACAGCATGTTTCTTGTATTGAGGTGTACAACTAGTTATTCCTGGTATTAAGTATGACAAGGAAAAAAAGATCAGACTCCTATCATTTTAACATAAGGTTGTTTAGCATGTGTTTGTGTTCACTTTACAGAAAGAAATCGCTGCAGATGTGTTAGATAGAACAATCTAGTGTATTGTTGGCTGAGAAGAATGAAAAGTAGCTGCAAAAACAGATATATAAATAGATTGCAGTGTTTTATCAGCAAATACTTAAGAAAAATATGAAAACAAAACATAGGCAAGATGAGAAAGGAGATAGGAGAGAGTACCTTGTTATTTCCAGAGAGTAATAGGACAAGTAAAAAGGATGCAACCTCAGAGATACAGAGAGGGTGTTTTTTTTAGTTGAAAACAGAGAGGAAGGGGCTCTGTCTGTTCTGTCTCCCACAAGTAAACACAAAGTAAAGATGGACGGAGCGAGAAAGCACAGCAACTAAAAAAAGAGAGGGGAAAATGGAATCAGCCTGTGCTTCTTCTTCATTGCTCCACTGAACATGGAGCAACATCCCCAGAGGCAGCCAATTAGATCACAGGCCTCAGAGCTGGCCAGCCAATGGGGGCCGGGGACCTAGTGACCGGCATTTCATACAGCCCAGGGGTGTGGGCCACAGGGGGCGGGGCTCATATACTCAGCCGTGCAATGCCACTGGTCACTGCAGCTGTCAGTCATGCTGGGAATGTTTTGGAAGAGTAAAAGAGAGCACTTTTGCATATTTGAATATTGTTGCACTGATACACCTGTGAGGCTTCAGCTTTTTAACATATCTTTAAAAATACGCTCAGTTCAGTCCTGCGTGACAATCTGTTTGCAGATATCCTTCAATATGGCATCACATCATGCACACATATGGGGTTCTGACAAATATTTCACTCCCTCTGCAGCTTTGCTTTCATTTTCATCACTCTGCTATTCATTATTTTGCCTTGCATATGTGTTAGCGTGACTCTCCATCTGTCTTGGTTTTTGTCCATCTTTCCTCTCTACATCCATCTCACTCTCTCCCTCCCTCTCTCTCTCTCTCTTTCTCCAGCGAGGCCTCTGAATGCTTTAACATGTTCTGGATTCACACTCAGTCAAGCATGTAGCAGCACACTGGCCCATGTGTTTGTGTGTGTGTGTGTGTGTGTGTGTGTGCGCAAAGTGACACATTTTTCATTGTTTCAGCTCTGTTCTGCAGCACAGTAGGTTTAGAAATGAAACAGTGACTATGACTTTAAAGTGATGCCTTTCTGCTTTAAGAGTTTTTGAGGGTGTCCACTGTTTTAATACAAACTCTCAGCAGTTTATGTTAATTTGTCCAATTACTTTTGGTTTTTCCATTCTTTAGTACAGTATACCATCTGCTGCTTTGAGATGTGTGTTCCTCCTGAATGGTGCCGTAAAGCAAATCAACAGATTTACTACAAAATGGCACTTGGTGAAGTGAATTCAGTTGTAAAATGCTTTGTAGAGGCTGGCAATAGTTTCAGTGATATAGTTTACTACACTAAAATGTATCCATTCAAAGAAAGGGTTGGCAGTAAGTACATCTTTATATCATCTTCATATATGTGGTGTTTGAGATCTGTTTCCAAATAGACATATATCAAGAGTCAGAGGGAATGCTGAAACAGTATAGAAAGTATTAAAAAAAGGATAAAAAGTCTGACATTTGGGAAACAGTGTCCACTTTGACTGCATCGAGCACCAAGCATCGTCGATGTAAACACAGAGTGTGGCACCTTTCACCCTGACAGAGTCTTGCGCTCTGACAGCTCGGAACACGGTCTACCCGCCGAGTGCTGCTTGATCCGGGATGTTGGTGGAGCAGGTCTCTGTAAAGATGTGGGCACAACAGTCTCTGATATACCATTGCTTGGTCCAAACTGGGCCAGCATGGCTTCTGTCCCTGCACTATTTCCTCTCCTCTGGGGCGATCTGATCTGGTTCGACTGGGCTGGGTGGCAACATCTTTACACAGCAAAAACATGTTTGTTCCTTTCAGTTATAAATGTGTTTCCACTCTCCTTTTACGTGTGTGTGTGTGTGTGTGTGTGTGTGTGTGTGTGTGTTTGTGTTTGTTTGTGTGTGTGTGTGTGTACAGGTGCTGTGCGTGCCTCCAGTATCTTCCCCATCATGAGTGTGGGTCTGCTGTTCCTGGGGGGGCTTTGTGTGGCCGCCAGTGAGTTTTACCGGAGTCGACACAACGTCATCCTCAGTGCAGGAATCTTCTTCGTCTCTGCAGGTTAGTCTTTACTCTGTGTGTGTGTGTGTGTGTGCGTGTGTGTGTGTGTGTCTTTTGCATATTGACCCTACTGTAGAGCAGTTATCAGCTTTGTTTAAGAAGAAAATCCACATATTGATAATTGCTGATACATACCTCATGCCAGGCACTAAGTATGAATATATTTATTAATATTTAAAGTATTAATAAAACCCCAGATTTACAAAAACGAAGGGGAAATAAACAATAATGAGCCCTATGTAATCTCCTTAAACCTAACCTAAAATGGCGACTTTGTATGTGGTTGTAGTGGAAATGAGGAAAAGAGTGCCTGGGATGCAGCGAGCTGTAATATTTAAGTCTACTCATCTCCATGACAACACTGTTAAACGCAACATAGCAGCCATCTTAGCTGCAGCACCAGCAAAATGACTTAAAATACCCAGACCTGATAGGAGGAGTTAGCAGGTTCAAATACGTTCTCAAGGAATGTTTATCATTTTAAATTTAAATACAAGGATGCCCGCTGCATGTATGTGTGTGTATGTGTGTGTGTGTGTGTTTAAGAGTGTGTATAGTTGTGTTACTGTGGAGCCACTTTAAACAGAGGAGGTGCGGCTCTCAAATATTTGTAGAAGGAGCCCGTTAGGCATCTAAAGGACACAGAAGTGCCTGTGTGAGAAGCCAGAGTGTGGAAACTGGGCACAGCAGCTGATTAATCAATCAGCAAGAATACCATGATGTGGCTGTGAGGGTGTGAGAGGGTAAACACATGTACATACTCACACACATAATCTATCACGTGGTTGCTGACACTCTCTCATAAACACGAGCGCACACACACACACACTTGTGCTCCTGCCCCTGGCACACACACACACACACAAAGGGTTATAATTGCTGTTTAGTGGGATGTGTAGGGTCCCATTGGGTTTTGTAGCAAATTCATACAGCCAAATTGCTAATTATTTACCACAATAGTGTTGGGGTTGATTCTGGTTAATTACAGCTGACTAATTGTCCCCATTCTGTGCATTCCACCACACTGCATGAGCACCGTATTCTGGCCTAATGATATGGAATAAGAGAGCCCAGCTGTGTGCAATGACTCTCCAACGTTTCTACCAAGCTCCACTCCCTCTCGCTGATGCTCTCCTTCCTGCTTTATTTCATTCGGCTGTCTCCCCATCACTACTCTTCTCTACCCATTTTTACTCTAATGTTTTCTTTCTTAAATTTTCACTCACTTCCACTCTCACTAATCTGCCACTTTAGCGTATGTTAGCGTTTATTAAAGTCACAGAGCTGCTAGCATGGCATAGTTTTTTTATTGATTCCTGTGCATTTACTGTGTATTTGTCTGTGCTTTGTTTTCAATTACTAACCTTCCTCTGTTCTTGCATTGTTTTTGTCTGGATGAGTAAGTCACTCTCACACCCTCTTCACTCCTCTGTCTTATTATTTTTTCCTTTCTTTCTTTACCTTCTAGGGCTCAGCAACATCATAGGAATTATTGTCTATATCTCAGCCAACTCGGGAGACCCGGGCCAGAGCGACAGCAAAAAGTCCTACTCCTACGGCTGGTCCTTCTACTTTGGCGCCCTCTCCTTCATCATGGCGGAAATGGTGGGCGTGCTGGCCGTGCACATGTTCATCGAGAAGCACCGCAAGCTACGGGCCAAGTCCCGCACCGAGCTCATCAAAAAGTCCGCCTTCAGCCGTATCCCCTCCTATCGCTACCGCTTCCGGCGTCGCTCCAGCGTGCGCTCTTCCGAGGCCCCCAGCCGTGACGCCTCACCACTGGGGAAGGGCGGCTACACAGGGCCTGCCGCCTCCGAGATGCCCATGTACACGCTTAACCCACGCGAGGCAGGCAACGCCGGCACCAAGCCTGGCAGTGGAATGGGTGGGCTGCTCAACTCAGAGAGGGATTTCCTCCAGAGCAGCACACTCACTAAAGACTACAGCAAGGACCCCAACCGCAGGACCACGCCCGTCTGAGAGGTGCCGGATGCAGATATCGCCCAATCAGAGTATCAATGAGAAGGAAGATGAGAAATACAGGGGGAGTGCGAGCAGCAGCAGGGGACACACAGGGTTACGGGGTGGGAAAGGGGTTTGATAAACTTTGACTGTGAACTGTGAACTTTTAGCCTTTGAACTGTGAATCCTGAGCCCTGTGAGAGTTTCAGTGTGTGTAGCAGGGTCAGTTTTGATGGAGAAGTTGTTCCCAACTCCACTTTACCACATATCACTGTAGTGATCCTTACATATGAAGGCACATTCAATTTATGTTCATGAGACTTATATTCATAAATTGACTTTCTGGCTTTTTTGAGGGGGAAACTGGATTGACCGGAGTTTAAAAGCATATCGTAAGTGGTTTGCTGTTTGGGGCAACTTCTCCTAAAAAATGAGAATAATGGAGAAGGGGAAAGAGGTGAGAGACTCTGCGTGATCTTTGACCTTTTGACCTCCGTCCTCCTGACCTTTTGGATAGCAGCAGAGTTGGATTAGTACAGGGAACAGCCGTAGAGCTGTGAGCTGTGTCTGATTATGATACTATTTAAACTACTATTTAAGAGTTAACACCTCAGGATAGGGACTGATTCATTTTCAGTTCAGCCGGATTTGAAATATAAACTGGAGATGCAGTTTGTCCACTTTCATGGCATCACATTTGTAGCACTAGTTATTTCTTTCTTACATATTGTATATATCCTCCTTTCAAATTGATTAATTGATTTAACCATCATTACTGACTGAACTGAAACTGAATTGAGCTCATTCCTGGTAAAGTTTGCCCCCACCTCTCTGATCCCTGGTCAGTTGTTAAACCTGCATAGTGGTTTTTGATGAAGGGAAAGGGTTACACTGACTACAGATGAGCTGTTCGGAGGGAAAAGGTGTGACTCAACAAAACTGATGAATCTCTTTTAGACGGTAACGTTAGATCATTGGTGCTTCCTTTGACCCGTTTTCTGCCACAGTCGTCTCTTGATTTATTTTTTCACCTAAAACCTAAAGAGATGATCAAATATTTGTCCGTCTGTCCGCCTTCACTCATCACCTTTCACATCCCACATTTTTCTGTGTAGCCCCATAAGTCACCTCACTGCCACCCTCCGCGCACCTTGCACCCTCTCTTTCTCTTTTAGGTCCTGTCTTCCGTTGGTGTCACTCGTAGACTAGTTAGGTTTTCCGGAGGTTGTTGGTTCAGGGTGCTGTGAAGAGAAGACCGCTGAGCTGTGAATATGCTTTAAGGCAGAGCCAAAAAGACATTAAACAAACAGATGGACTTTTTTTTTGTTTGCCCACTACCTCTCGGTGAATATCTTTTCAGATGAATTTAATATAAAGTTGTCTTTTCTTGCCAGAACAATCGTCAAAATTTTGGCTGCAGAAAATGCTCACTTCAGTCTAAAGTACACATCTTTCTTCTCTAGCGGAGGATGTGTTGAAAATGAATTGGAAGATAAATAGATTGAATTGGAGGAAATACCATCCATTATTCAGAGGATTTGTTCTCCATCCATTCAGCTGTCACTCACAGCCTCTCCTCCTCTTAACCATGTGCACATACTGTATACATCTGCGCAAATACACACACAAGCCTATACACGTTTTAGCATTTTAGCATACATTGGAGAAATGTGAGCTTCGATTTGGTCGAGGTTATATCTATTGGCACCATTTTGTATTAACAGCCAGGTGTTGGCTGAGCATTTAAGTTCTTACCGCTACACATGAACATGAGATGTGCATGATTTATTGTGGTTAGACTCTTCTACCTCAGTAAAGAAAGGCGGAAAACGAGGATGGCGGATGGCGAGGAGGCGGAAAACGAGCAAATGAGGCTGGATCAGTGTCATTGTTAGACTTCAATAGCTTGCTCTCTTTAGAAAGATGTGGAGTGTTAATAAATGGCGTTCAGGTGACGTTTCTGAGGTCTTAGGCGCCATTGGCTGTTGGATAACACACAAAAAATATAATAATGCAGTCTAAATGAATAGACAGGTTAAATACTGTATCTGTTTTTGACTGGGAATGGATCACTTCCCCATTGAAACATACTGCAACCTAAATACACATTATCAGACATTATTTTTGCTTTTTGTGTCTGGTTATACCACGTGCATGTAGCTATTATTTGCTGATATTTATTATTAGTTCTCCACTGGATCTCCCCGCAATTGGTGATCTATCGCTACCTCTGTCCAATGTAAATGTTGGCAAGGAGTTAAGCTTTTGCAACACTTTATTGTGTTAGCTGTGTCATCTGAGTTCAGGGGATCGCATTAAGCCATTTATCACTTCAGTGGACAACACCTGATCGCCCACACACACATGCAAACACACATATAGAAGGGGAGGGGTTGTGACAGAGTGAGAAGGAGGCAGAATAGCCATAAAACCAAGAGGAAGGGAAAGCTGTAGAGAGAGAGCATGAGAAGCTAGTCTAAATATTAACAGCATTTTTCTTAAACTGTGACTGAAAAGTGAGCTTGAAACTTAAGGGGGGGGGTGCTTTTTTGTTTCCTTGTTTAGCCACCATTGCACTGTTTTGTATAAACTAAACATGAGACAACACCAAGCTGATGCCATTACACCACTACTTTGAGAGATATTTCCCTGATAATAAAATATGTTTTAAACCTCAGTCATACTGTTTAATTTATGACGCTGCTGTTTTATCCACTGTCTTTTACGCCATAAAAGGAGCTTAAAGGGACAAACGTGCATCACCACAGACTTGCTCTTGCTGTCGTCCACATGTAAATATTAATTTTGCAAGCTAACTACAACATCAGCAGTTGTCACGGGCTGTGAAACAGAAAAAAATGCTTTTCTCGAAGCAAGGGCTCTTAATTTTTAAAGGACAGGAGCACACAAGGGCTTTTTATGCTCAGCGCTGCAGCGACGTCGTTGTGAGTGTTATATTGGAGTGTGGGAAGGAAAGGCAAAGTACATTTGCTCAGAAACAACTGTTTTTAAACTAGCTGAATAGCTAACTAACGATATAACACGCTCTTGCAAAAGAGAAGTAGAGGTAGAGAAAATGCAAAGACTGTACTCTTCTTCTCGTGTTAGCTACAGGTTAGCCTTTAGCTACTCTTTTTCGCTAACTTTAGTTTAGATGGGTAACTTTCTTTTGCCTTAAGCCGAGGTAGGACAACAATTTTAATTAAGAATTATTTGAGCTAAAGGATCAAACATATATTAGAGAAATATTGTTAATCATACTTGGTGCCAAATATTACTCAAAATGTTTCCTGTATATCATGGCCTCCAGGTTAGCTTAGATCAGGACTGCTCTAAGTACTCTTTTTTGCATAGGATTTCCTGCAGTATACTGACTCAGCAGTAGTAACCATGTAGCTCAGCACATCAGAGGCCCCTTGGACACTGAGGGTCTGTTAGGGGTCAGAGTTCAGAACCCGCATCCATGAGCCATGTCAACATTGCCCTTTCAAACCATGCATGCCATATCCATCCGCTTCCAGTGCTTACATTTGCTATCAAGTCTCAAATGGCACCCTAATCTCTATACTGCGTACGGATACTGAACTGCTACATTTAAGACGCCTTACAAGGGTGTGTGGCCCTGAAAGCCTGTGCTGTGTTTAATGATGTTTACTCCAATAGAGCACAGGGTGCTTTTTGAGACTAGACCTCTGTCTAACTCTTCTTACCACCATACAGCTTTGATACTCTGATATCAACAACAAATAATTGTATTACTAGTAAAAATATTATTCTACTCTAAAGGTGCCACTGTGCAGAGGATGACAAACTCTGTCACATATTATAGTTATTAATATATTCACTGGGGGTGATGGGGGTATTGATCGAAGGGAGCAGAGTTGGGAAGAAAGGGTCATAGTCTTTGTAATATTATATTCTAGTTTCATTTTCTACTTTGATGTGGTTTGTGAGTTTGTGTTGTTTTGATCACATTTGAAGCCTCTTGACAGGAGGAGAGGAAGCGACAGTGGAGCGCTCGGACAAACTCTTGTGGACATTAACCTCACCTCACTGGTGCAAGAGGTCACTTTACAGTTCGTCAGCGGGACACTCACCACTGAAAGTGCAATACACACACACACACACACACACACACACACACACACACACACACACATTCAGAGTTAGCTTAATATACTTTTGAGGATTTATTGACCCAATGCACAACAGGCAAAAGTTCTGTCTCCTAATTACAGGGGTTGAATGCGGAAAATAATACAATCCAATACAGCAGTCTATAAAAAATGTTTTATGAAGCTGGAAAGTATCAGTTGTGTCTGTTAAGACTGACAGGGGGCAAAATAATAGGAACAGTTTACAATGTACGGCACTATATTACAATTCAACCACAGCCTCAAAAATACCGTAGATTTGAACCACAGCCTCCCTCACAGCGCCACCAAAAAAATTTACATTATAGACTTCACAGAGGAAATGTTGTTTAACTGCCATTATGGATTCTATTACAATGTACAGGGGTTGCTTTTGCTGTGTATTCCTGTGTATTCTCTAACACTTTTCTCTAAGTCATCGTTTTTAACTACCAGGATATCTTGATCACCTCAATTAAATAATAAAGTATAACGGGTAATTAGAAAAGTATCTAAAATAATGCACCTTAACAGGGACACTGTTACATCTGGCCTCCTTCCTTTTCCCTGTGGCTCCAGGAACAAGTCCTCTGTCCTGGTCGTCTGTGGGCACATTGAAATTAAAGCTAGGAGGAACACATTAAGGCGATTTGAAAAAATGCCTTTTTTCACTGATCCATATTGTGATGAACTAATATCACAGAACAGATTTCTCTTAAAATAAAAACTAGAATAATTTTGAAAATTAAGATATTGATCTGATCAAATCCTTACTATAAAAAAAGAGTGACAAGTGCCCTTATTTTAGATTTTAGGTTTTTTTTAGCAAACGTGTGGGAAATAGGTCCTCATAAGTATAGATATCCAAGAACACAACACATACACAACACTCATTAATGGTCACAAACATATACACAAAAATGCACAGACTCCTACACACACTCACACGGCACACACTCACGGCTTCAGCTTTGCCCAGTGCGGTGTGGGGATAAGTGCGTCCTGTTAAAAGAAAAATCACTGTGTCATGTTTGGGAAAAATCATTATAAGTGTTTCTTTGGGAAAAAAACAACAAACTGTTTCTGTCGCTGATGTGTCGCTCTTCTATGGAACTTCAAGTATACTGAGCCAGCTAATCAATCACGGAGGACCAGAGGTATTTTTTTGAGAAATGTGAATTTAATGGAACAGCTCTGAGACAAACACATGTTATAAGAACTCTACACTTTGCAGTCGCTACCAAAACACAGACACACACACATACACTTACATATCACATTTACAAGGTTACTGTGTGAGGAGGGCTTAGGGGTGGAGTTATGTGCCTGCATGTTTGTTCATATGTGTGTGTGTGTGTGTGTGTGTGTGCGTGTGAGTGCAGCTAGCCTCTCCTCACCCATGCACCCAGTGCCTGCCTGTCCTGCCTTCAGACAGCTCCCAGATCAGCCATGGGGCTTCCAGTATAACCTCCTCTGCATTCCCACGACCTTTAACAGTCGCACTGGGATCAGTTTTAGAGCTAACTGCCCCGATCATTCCTCAGCAGACGCAGCCATACAAGATGCAAAGACTGTTTTGTAGTCAGTGGTTTTCGGGTGACAAAATTTAGTAAGGAGTTTATGTTAAAAGGCTAAGAGGGGAGTCATTTTTTATTTTAAATGTCTGACTGGACTGTTGGTCTTTTATTTTGACACACCTGCTGTACAGATCTGACTGTCTGTGTGGCTGATTTAGGATCAGCAGAGGGGGCTTAACAGGATAGACAATAGTCTATTGAATCCCTAATGACAGCTGGTCTTGAATCAGCACCACATGGTGTCGCCTGCTGTCTCTCATTCTCAATCTTCCAAAAATCTTCCAAAAAATGGGGAAATCTACTAACACTGTCTGCAAGATTGGCTTTTAAACTATTGTGTTGTTGAGCATTTCTCAGTAGGAGCTTTTACCTAATGAGAGAGGTCGTCCCACTTTTACTGTCAATTAGATTTAGAGTGTCTGTCGTTATTGTGGACAGTATACAGCAAGACTGTGGACAGTTCCCTAGACAGAATCTATATTTAAAATAGCAGCCATGATTTTAAGAATTATTCTGGCCTTGTAGCGTATTAAGCCCTTCTTCCAGACGACCCTCTTCCTTAATAATTTCCTTTAGTCCTTTAGCTAGAGAGATTTCGTACTTGTCTTGTATTTTAGAAATTATTTTGACAGGAAGTACAGAGCAATTAAAATATGCATTTTACGGTTTTGCCTCAAGCCCCACATTCACACAGTGTTGTTTACATGCAGAACGTATCCAAGGCTGGCATGGTTGACTGGCCAAGGATGAAAGGCCCAAAATGGCAGGCTCCTTTAAATAAATTCCTTATGAGCAGTAGCAACAGTCCATGGTAAAGGATTCACCTTCTTGAACAAATGTTTTGGAAGTGAAATCTTAACCAAAAACATCATGAGATTCTACTGGCGACCTGTCCAGGGTGTACCCCGCCTTTCGCCCAATGTCAGCTGGGATTGGCTCCAGCCCCCGCAACCCTGTACGCAGGATAAGCGGTTGACGATGGACGGATGGATGGATCATGAGATTCTTGTTGAGAGCCATTTTTACTGTTATTCAATACAGAGTCCATTCAATTTTCAAACCAGTTGCTACAATACACATGTGATAAACTTCTATTGGAGTCAAACTCATCTGAGAAAGCCATGCCTCAAAGAGACTGAATTGGTAGAGTCAGGCTACCAGGCATACAGACCAGCGAAATCAACACATCAATCACAACGTTGGTATTATTACAGAGTGCAGAGACAGTAGGGTTTTAAGCTAGCCGCATGGCTCTATGGCAATGTTGGTCGGTCACTTTGGTCCAGACTGAAATATCTCAACACCTACTAGATGGATGGCCATGCAATTTGATATTCACATCTCCCTCTGGATGAACTGTAATAACTTTGGTGACCCCTTAACTTTTCATCTCAGCCTCACAATCAGGTCAAAATCTCAATTTGTCCAATACTTCAGTTTGTCACCAAATCCCTGCAAAACGATTGACATTCACATCAGCCTCAGATGTACTTTGTGTTTAATGCTAATTAGCAAATGTTAGCATGCTAACATGATAAACTGCTAAACATCATTATGTTAGCATTGGCTAGACTTTTGGTCTTGTTATTTAAAGTACAATACAAAATAATCAAACCAGTTTTAAGTGGTAAATGGTTGTTACCTGACTTTGGCCATTTCAAACTGACCTGAGGACTGTTAGAAAATAAATGCAAGAACACAAACTCAGGAGAAGAGATGGAGAAGTTATATACATTTTAACGTGCATACTGGACTTCATGTATTTCTTAGCTAATTCATGACAAAGAGAAAGCAGTCCCTTCAGAGGAACACCACAAAAATGTGTAAAAGATCAAAAATATCAGTAAAGTGAGGTTCAGTATTTTATTCTTATTGTGATTATTATATGTGTAGCAACTTTTTTCAGGGGGTGTATCTTGCATGTGTTGTAGCATTTTCTTTTGAGGTGAAACTATTCAGTTGGAGGTGAGGAGTAAATAACAACCAGCCTTTGGTGAAAGAGAAAAGCAAAAGCCTAAAGACAAATGTGCAACTGTAACATGAAGTAGCATTAGCAAATACCCCCCCCCCCCCAATAAAAATTGTGGGTCTTAATTTTAAAGCACATAAAGGCGTGGTGATGGGTAATGTGTTTAAAGGTAGAAGATGGTCAACTGTTTTGAAATCTGTGTCAATGGGCAGCTTTTTATCTTGCTCCATACATCTGAGCCCTGTCATGAAATACTTAGTCCTCAACACATACACACACACACACACACACACACACACATGCATGCAGAAACATGCTGGCACTCACATTTGTCTTTCTATACACAACCACACTGACTGTATAACTCTCGCAGCTCGCACACACATACAGACACACACACACACACATACCAGCTGCCAGCCAGTTTCACTGTATACTTTATAATGTAAACCTCCAACCAACAGCGGTCTGACACGGACACATGCTGTGAATAAAAGCACACTTTTACTTACATGATATAAATATGATTACCTATATCTAGAGAGAAAGAATATTATATACAGTATAATAATTAGAAAATAAAGAGTCACCTTTTCAAAGTGCCTGTGGAGAGTTCATTTTGTTTTTGAATATGAGTATGTGAATGTATGTGTGTGATCTGCTCTTACATCCTGCACACACACACAGATAACCCCACAGTTTGGTGGTCCTTTCTTTAAACAAATTAACACTATCTAATCTTTGTCAGAAATCTCACCACACACCAGCACAAAGCTGTACAATATTGATGAGAAGTGCGCAAACTCCTCCCCAAACCTGCGCACACGTACAGACACTAGATGTGTATCAGCTGTGCTGTGTCAACCGTTCTGAATTAGCTGTCCGATAAATAAGTCCTCTGCTTACCTCACAGCCAGCACACAGATGTCTGAATGACGGAAAGAGAGAAAGAGGGAGGGTGGAAAATGAGAGTCAAGGGGGGATATGGGAAGGAGAGAGGGATAAGTTAATGAGGACGCTGGAGAATGTGCCAGATTTTAGGTGCTGGAAGGCGATAAAGAGAGGGAAGCATGCAGAGGACTGGTACATGTGTGTGGGGAGTGTGCATCTAAATAGAAATTAAAACGTGTGTTTATGGTTGAAGTATAATTCTTGCCTGAGTATAGGTTGCGCCCCATCTATATATTTGTCAATTTTTCTGATCTAATTGTGATTGAAAATTATGCATCTGACGGCATTGCCACATCCCTGGGAGAGTGCTGCATCATTCATGTACAGTATTTATCTGTGGGTCACATCAGGTAGTCTCCATCTGTTCACGGAGAGCGCTGCAGAAGGCGCTGATCAAATGATTTTGAGCAATTACTGGTTCATTGGCACTGGGTTACAGAGCCTTCAGTGGCCATCATCTAAAGCAGTGGTTCCCAAACCAGGGGTCACAAGATGAATCTAATGGATTGGAAGCTGATAAGAAAATAATATTGATATTAATATTAATAAAATAAAATATATATAATGTATTAAACAATCTGAACTACTACTCACACTTATATACACTTATATACATGCAACTTGTGATGAGGATTTACAGGAGACTGCCGTGTTTTAAGAGGTCACAAACAAAAGGGAAAAAAAGGTTTTGAACCAGCGATCTAAAGCTCAAGCTGGACAACACTGAGTTAGTATTGCTTCTAGGTATGGGATGCCTGGATCAAGACCTGTTCATCACATTGGACGTCAAAATGCTTTGAGTAACATGGGTGTGACCCTGGGCAAACATTACAGCAGTAGCTTGCTCCTGCAGATTTCAACAACATCAGGTGGATTCGCCCTGAAGGTCTGCCACAAGTCCAGTTCAAAACACTGGTGCTAGTCTACAGGGCGGTGAAAGGTATGCCAGTTTTTCAGAGGTGAGAAAGTCGCTAAAGCTCCCTTATTTCATTTTTCACAGTTACTTCTGTCACTTTTCATTGTACAAACAAGTGCAACACTATGGATACCTTAAGAATAGACAACAGATCTCAATTTTTAAACAACACAACATCTTTATGTAGGGGAAGACACTCGAAAGTCAGGCTTTAAAGGCTATAAATACTGGGTTATCACCACACCGACATGGTTGGGTGACACCGTGAGGGCAATCACATATCCAAATCAAAAAGTTCTAATGTCATACAATTCGATATTTGCTGTATTTCTGAATTTGGTGTGATTTTACTTTGTGCTTAAATGTTGCCGTTTGTATGTTATCAGAAAATAATGTAACAGCAAGACCATAAGAGTATGTAATGGGAGCGTGGAGGATTCAGTGGAGAGCTCAGATTCACCTAATGAATATTCATAACGGTGACGTCACCGATGGAGCTCGTCGTCATAGAGATTAGAGTGGATGACGGGATTATGGGACAGTCTCCGCCACACTGGGATCGGCTGCCACTCTGCTTTTGTTCCTCTTAACTGCCTTTATATTTGCCATTTTGTCACTCAATCTCTCCTGCCGCTCATCTTCTCTGTTTTTTTACCTTCTCCATGATCCTCTTAGCCATTTTCCCCTCTGCCACATTTTTTGAAAGTTTTGAAACCCCACCCTCCCATCGAGCAGTATGGTACTGTAGTAATTGCTTTCTTCAGCTCCACTGGCCCAATAAGAGACAATGGGCCCTTATGTTAATAGCCCATAAAAGACACTGAGCAATTCCCAGCAGGAATCCCACACCACATAATTTTATAGTGCTGTACCAGACAGTAATGTTTTACCTCTATGTGTTCTAAAAATAAAACATGAAGTTGTGCAGAAGAATATTTGTTATTAATACTGCGGATTATTGCAGTGAGTTACTGTAATAGTTTATTTTGACAAAATGTCAAAATCTATCTATCTATCTATCTATCTATCTATCTTGTGCATGTGTGTAAATCTGCAAGCACCTGCTCTATACAAAGCCACATGGCATTGGTTTGTTTTGGTTTGGTTGTGCCCAATCCACCAATGTGTGTGTGTGTGTGTGTGCGTGTGTGTGTTGCCATTCACGAGAGAAATGCAGCAAACACCTTGATGTCTGCGTGCATGCTTTGTACAGCGTTTGGCTGCACATTGATGAAAGCTATGTTTGTCCATGTGCATTCCCTTGTGTGTGTATGTGCATGTGTTTTATAACATCTGTCAGTGTGTAGTGTACCTTAACATGAAACACTGTGTATAGTTCATTATCTGCACAAATCAAATTTACTACCCTCCATTTTATGTAGCTTGCTTCTATGTGAAAGTTGCTCAGGCAATCTGCCTTCTTAGCATCTTCATCATAACTGTTCCTACACGGCTCACAGTACGCATAATATCTTATATTATATCATATTATTAGTGTTTTAGTCAAGACCGCCCAAATCGAGACCAAGTCAAGACCAAGACCAGAGTTTATCAAGACCGAGACAAGACCAAAACTTTTAGGGGCTGAGACCAAGTCAAGACCAAGACCAAGGGAGGACGAGACCTAGTCGTTACGGTATCAACACATTTTTATTTAGGGTTATTGGTTGCATTTGAATCAATACGTTTTACATCCAATCAAAGTTAGGATATTAACAAATAAATCAGACAATGTAAAAGCAATTTATTGATATTCCCAAAGTTATGGTCTTCACTGGTCTTGAAATAAAATCCAGAGTCCTCAATGTCAATGAGACCGAGACAAGACCAAATGCGGCCGAGTCGGAGACGAGACCAAGACCATCAAAAAGAGGTCTTAAGACCGGTCTCGAAACCAAGACGAACACTACATATTATACACGTATTAAAGCGCATCTTGGGGTATAAACTTTCATTTAAAACACCCCCTTAAAATCCCATCCCACACGTGCTGATGTTTAGCAGGTATAATGTTAATGTTCACCATCTTAGTTTAATTTGCTAATTGCACTACAAACACACAATACAGCTGTGCCTGATTGGGGTGGCTGTGGCTCAGGAGGTAGAGCGGGTTGGCCGTTAATCAAAAGGTTGGCAGTTCAATCACCAAAGTGATTACAGTTCAACCTGAACCATGTAACAACTTTCATGGTGGCGCTAAAGACAGGGTCAGTGGATTCATGATCCATGAATGTCTGTACCAAAGGCTGTGCCAATCTATCCAGTAGGTGGATCAGCTGACCATCTGACACTGACATCTCTTGAGCATGTCTAAAAATCCACCAAAATGCTTGCCATTTTGCACCCACAAAGCCATCAAATCCGTGCGAGACTGGGATGACAATCGCCTCAAAAGTTGAGTTTTTGAGGACAAGAGACACTTCTGCTCTCTGAGAAGGGCAAACTGAATGAAGAGCACTCTGAACTATTCTCACTGACAAAGAGAGCAATGTGTGTGTGTGTGTGTGTGTGTGTGTGTGTGTGCGTGTGTGAGAACTGAGGTTTGGTGTATACATACACATAGAGTGGTATAAAAGCAAAGTCATCCAGCCGCATCAGGACATCATACACTGTCAGCAGCTAGATGGGTGATGGTGGAAACTGCCCCCTCACCAAGCACAAGGCCAGGAACTGCTCGCACACGTCGAGGTACTGGATCGCTTTCCGCATCCAGGCGGCTGAATGTTGCTCCCGGAGGGTATTGTACAGCGGAATAGCACTGTTACCCAGAGTGCGAGACCTCAGTTGTGCAACCACCCTCTCGTCACAGGACTGCCTACACAGACAAAAGGCGAGCATTATTATTATTATTATTATTATTATCAAATATAGCCTATATATAATTTTTTTTTTGTACGTGAGTACAACTGGAAACTGCCATCTGTAGGTGGGGGACAGCTGCCTTATGATGCACTGTGACCAACCTAAGACCTTCTTACATGGAAGCACTCCAGGTACTCACTGAGCATGAGATACCAACCGTCGATGTCCAGGACCCTCTGGATAGTCCTGTACAACCCAGCCTTTGTCATGACCCGGTGCATAAAGGCTTGGGGCACGTCAGCTGCAGCTGATCCTGTGTAGAGAGGAGCCGGTGACTGCAAGCTGGACCATGATGAGGGCTGCTGGAGGTTATAGAGGGGGGTCTTGCTCCTTGCTCCTCCCGCAGCTCCTTGTCTGTGGTCTCATCCAGCACAGCCAAGACACCAGCCCCCGCCTGTCCTGCTGCTGAGGTGGTGGAAGGAGGAGGATGCTGCAGGAGCGAGAGAGGGTCTGAGGCTGAGAGAGAAACAAAATGCATTAGTTACATGAAGGAGTTAGATTTTGGTGTTAATAGTGAACAACGGGCACAAGCTCAGCCAAGCTGCATCAACTTTGCAAGGCACAGGGGGTGATTTAAAGAGAGAGAGAGAGAATGGGAGGAGACAACATGATGACCACAGATTAAACTTGTTAAACTTGTTTAGGCAGTGATGTAGGCAGAACCTACAGGGGTTACGCGGGTAACTAGAGAAAGGATGATGAAGAAAATGTGAATCTACAGATGCACTACTTAGTGATGCTTTGACAACTGATTGGACGTCATGGGGGTTAGTGATTACTAAGTAGTGCATCTGTAGATTCACATTTTTGTGTAGATTTTCTGTAGATTATATTTTTTTTCTGCACATAAAATA